TAGATGAATGAATTTTGTTATTGTATTCATCTACAACCTCTGGTAATATTTTAAGCCATTTTTGAGATTTCAATTCCGTGAACTTTTTGAATAATTTATTTTTTAGAGTCCTGTTAAATATTTCTATTACTACAGCTTTACCTTCGTTATGCGTGCTGTAAATTTCAAATCCCAGAGATTTCATATTTTTGTTATAAAATTCACTTCCTTTATCTACCCACAGTTTTTCTGGTTGTCGGTTAGGTTGTTTCATAATCGTTTCAAATGCGTGATAATCTCGTTTTGTTTTTCATAGGAATAACCCAAGCATATCTCGTATACAAATCTATAACTGTTAAGCAATATTTAAATCCTCTTTCGACTGGCATATGAATTAAATCGGCTGACCATATTTCATCTTTTTCAAACACTTTAACTTTAAAAAGGTTTTTAGTTTTTCTAAATTCTTTGTGAATTTCATCCGCTAATCCCATGCCTAATTTCATCTTTGCTTTTAACAGTTTTATGATCAGAGCCCTTTGCATTCTCTCTTTGAAAGTTGGATTTGGAATATTTTCAAGTTCGATTATCATTTGTCTGTCTGCTTCGTGTCTGAAGTTTATGTCTTTGTTTCTGTATAAAATATCATGTTTAGGCGCAGCGGCGTCAACTCTATTGACTGGTTCTTCCCCTGGTTTATTGTTTTCGTCTAATCGCATATCTAACCTGGTACCTGGACCAGTGTAATTATGACCGGGAAGATGTTTTTCTCTGGGATATTTCGCCCATGGAAATCCAGGAAGAGAACCCAATGATTTTTGTATATCTCCTGAACCGAAATAAGTTTTTGGAGCGTGAGCGACTATCATTTTTATCCTATAACTTTAAAACCTTTTCCTTTCCTTTCTTCTAAATTCCTGTTTCGAAGTTCTCTTAGTAGCTCTAATTCTTTCAACTCGATAGATTGTTTCACTGTGTCGCTTATACTCTTTCCCGCTTCCGCGATTGAGCCGATGGCTTTCGCTCCGGTTGAAATGAGTGATTTGTTTTTTGAAACAAAGCTAGCTACTTTTGGAATTATTGTTTTACCTAGAGAAAATAATGAAGAAAAGATACCGTCGCCCGAATAATCTTCGAATCTGTGTTGTTCGTGTTTTAGAATTAAACACATCCTATTTTTAAATGAGTTAATTTAACGAAGAAATTCTGGTTTTTTTTATCCAAAAAAAAGTTATCGCCCTTTTCTAGACTAAAAATAACATTACTTAAAAACCGGATGTTAAGCGAAACAAGGATGTTATTTCATATAAGGGTATTTTTAATATGCTTTATTTTGATGGAATGTAGGAAATTGATTGAAGGTGTTTTTTGGTGTATAGCGTGTTTAGGTCTTTTTTTTAAGTGTAAGAATTTATGAAATGTAGGATGTAAGAATTTTATGAAATGTAGGATGTTTTGCTGTAAGAATTTATGAAATGTAGGGAATTTAGGTCTTTTTTGGGAGCTTATATATTGGTCGCATTTTCCCCATGAAATGAAATGGAATGGGGAATCCCCATGCGACCAATCTATAATCTCATACACTACTAACCTTTTCATGGCAGAGTGGGAAAGAGAGGTTTAACCCCTTTGTCCATTTGATTTATGGCCGTTTTCCATTAAACTTGTTGCCAACGTTAGGCACAAGAGGACAGTTTTTTTAGTTTGCACTGTTTACAAAGTAAACGATTTTTACGAAACATTAAAAATTCCACCCTAGCAGCTAAAACAGACTTTATTTAGCAACATCTCTAGGCTTAAAGTGTGCCCCTTGTCCGTCAAATAGGTGCAAAAGGTGTCTCTTTATATCAAAAACTCACTTCTTCATGAGTAATTCTACTAAGAAAAGGTATCCTATTCAAGAGCATTTAAGATGTGAAATGTCCCAAACAATAGGAAAATAAAATTAATTAAAGCATTTGATTTACTGCCCATAGATCAGATATAAATTAAAGACATTTTCGTAATGAAGTTTTTGGTCCATCCTAGGTTTGCACATTTGGGAGAATCAAATATCAATATTTTAATATGATATTTTGGATAATTAAACTAATTTAAAATTTCATCTCTACAAGCGAATAGCATCAAAACCGGAAGTGATAACAAGCATAATGTCTATCGACCTAATTCTACTCTTCTGTAGCGCTTAGTTCAAAGATGTAAACGAAAAACGTCCGATCAAAATCTGATCAAGATTATAGGAAATAGGAATTTAGAAATAACGTACCATATGTACATCGTCCTCCGTCATTTCCGATTGAAAAAAGAAATGCGTCAAATTACATTTATTCTCTAAAATTTCACAGGTTTGATTAGGTCATGTAAAAAGTGCAACTGTAAAAGGTGTAGTCGAGTGTTATATAAAATTAAAGAACATGGCGACTCGACATGCTATTGTGATGACAACATGTCAATTTGTAGTTACATGTTTACAATCTTCCTTGTACTTGGTCGTAAAACAGAAACATCTGAGATATTTTTCGTAAAATTTATTTAGGGAAGTTTTGAGTTGGTAAAACCTATATGCCACCATCATCATTAGGCTAACTTGCTATCTTCGCTAGGTTTTGGTTAATCGAAATTTGAGGAATAGAATTCTTAATCTAAGATTACATGCGTACTTAGGCGTAACTGAAACTTAATCTCAACCATACCGTCATATGTCCGTACGTGAAATCCACAATGGAAGGAAATCACTGCCAGCGTAAAAGGGAGACCACGTGACACTAGGCCCGGAAACAAAGGAAGAAAGGGATAATTCTATAATGTTGACGTGAGGAAAATTCCGCCCAAATGAATGGTCCGTTGAGCAACATGAAAATCGACAATCCCTCACTTCAATACTGTACTAATTGTAGCGCATTATTCTTCTGGTTTGGGTTGTTGGCGAAGTAGGGTGGTTGAGGCTTAAAACTCATCAAAGTATTATACATTATACTACTATTAGTTTTACGTTTCAAACAAACTCGAAATGAAATCAAAGACACGCTGTTAAATAAATAAATGTTAATTCTGATTTATTCTTTTTTCTAGTACCACCTTGTCCTGGTAGGATACAGAATGCAATCGTCGTTAATCATTTATGGCCGTTGGATGAAAAGGTATTGGCATTTGACACAGAAACTAACACAGGCAGTGAACATAAGTGTTTCAGATTTGGTAAGAATCATCCCAGTTTGCCAAACAGTGCTATCTACATCGATGGTTCACCTCTATCTCGAATTACTGTTAAACTTAACAGCAATGAAATTGACGAAGCTTTTACATTAACATCTGGTGTATTTATAAGGAGTCAATCATCTGGTTCCTTTTTGAAAATAGTTGACATGCAAGGTCAGCCAATATTTGAGGTGCAGATTTCAGGAAGAGATATCGCGTTCAATGCATACTTTAGTAATACTACAAAATGCGCTTCACTGTCAATGACTAACGCATTTACCACAAATACATGGTATGTTGTTGGAATCCAAAGAGATGTTAGTGCAAACTTAATTGGGATAGTAATCAACGAAAATTTGAACAATACAAGTGACATGTGTGGAACATTCGGATATAGTGGTGAACTGTTTGTACTAATAGGAAACAGTAATCGACAATTGCCTGGATATAGAAGTGATGTGAGATGTCTTATTATGTTTGGCGACCCAGGATCCGATATAATGACAGCTTTTCAAGATAAGTGTTTAGATGTTGATTCAAACTTAATGGGTGAGTATTTCAGTCCAAATACTTCAACTTGCGGAATTTTACCGATATTAGAAAAATTATTTTTAGTGTATGTTAGAGTTGTTCAATTAAAAGATTTAAAAAAATAAAATTTGTCCCGGAAGTATCGGATCAGCCGCCATCTTCACAGTCAGTGATTAATCGGATTTGCGTAATTTTAATGTCTGTCTGTAGGATCAACAATCGATTGCTAACAATCGTGTGTAAGACGATTTTAGGGTTTCGATTTTGCATTTTAGCTATTTCCGGTTGCTTTTCTTTGGTGACCTAATGGCCTGCACAAAAGTTGTTGCCCTTGACGCTGTCTTCATTTTTGTTAACTTACGGTTCTAAAGAGCCATTGAAGTTAGAAATGCAGTTAAAACTGCAATAAGGTCTAGTAAAAGGTAATACTTCGAAACTTTAGTATCAGATAGAAAAAATAGTAAACAAATTTGGAAAGCGATAAATAATTCAGCTGGTAATAGTAGTCCACAGTCTACACCTCTTATTGATCCGGAAACTTTTAATGATTATTTTATTAATGTTGCTCAAAATTTATTAAGTAATGCACCAAATTCATTAAGTACAACTAATGCTCGTGTTATAAACGATTTTGTCAATAGTCGCATTTCGTCCAAAACTGTTGTTTGTCATATACCTTTTATGAATATTACTGATGTCTTTAAATATCTTTCTAATTTAGACACATCAAAAGCTGTTGGTCTTGATGGTGTCAATGCTTATTTTCTGATCGTTGGCGCTAGTGCTTTGATCTATTTCCCCACTTTTATATATTTAACCTGTATATTGATAAGATTATTTTCCCAGATATATTGAAGCAGGCGAAAGTATTGCCAATTTATAAATCTGGTAATAAAAATTTGGCAAGCAATTACAGACCCATATCAATTCTACAAGCTGTCTCTAAACCAATTGAAAAACATGTTCATTTACATATCAACAACTATTTAACTACTCATAACCTTTTATATTCAAAACAATCTGGCTTTAGATCAAACAGTTCGTGCCACACAGCACTCACCAACATAACGGAAAATATCTATGATTCACTCAATAGTAGCATTCTTACTGGATTAATATTTTTCGATTTTCGTAAAGCTTTTGACATGGTAAATCATAATATTCTTTAACAACAATTAAAATTCTATAAGTTTTCG